TGTGTGTGTGTGTGTGGCTGTGTGAGTGGGGCTGTGTGGGTGGGTGTGGCCGTGTGCGTGAGTGTGGCCGTGTGCATGAGTGTGGCTGTGTGGGTGGGTGTGGCTGTGTGCGTGGGTGTGGCTGTGTGGGTGGGTGTGGCTGTGTGCGTGAGTGTGGCTGTGTGAGTGTGGCTGTGTGCGTGAGTGTGGCTGTGTGGGTGTGGCTGTGTGGGTGGGTGTGGCTGTGTGAGTGAGTGCGGCTGTGTGTGTGAATGTGGCTGTGTGTGTGTGTGCGGCTGTGTGCATGGGCATGGCTGTGCGTGGACACTCACGTTGTTGAGGTGCTTCCACTCTTCTGCCCACTCACGCTCTGTGAGCTTGTGGTCGATCACTTCTTCCTGCCGGGACCCAGGCACCACTGCAGATGGAGGAGGTGCACACTTAGGTCCCGCCCACAGCCAGGCTCTGCCCTATTCTCCCAGACCCCACCCATGGGCTGTGCCCACTGGGGATGATGGACAGGGTGACCAAAGGGCTGGTTGACTCAATGAATGTGGAGGATGCCTGAGTTACGCAGCTGCCCCAGGCTCTGTGCACTCGCCTCCGAGGGAGGGTCCGGTCTCAGTCCTGTTCTGCAGCCGGGCCAACCGCGGCTGTTTATGGGATGTGTTTGCCCAGAGCCACCAGGCAGGGAGCGTTGGTGCAGATCAAGCCTGGCTGGACTGGAGCACTGTCCTCAGCTACTGCCCATGAAAGCCTTGCTAGACCAAGCGTGGCCTGAGGATGCCTGGGTGCCAAGTCACACACGACCTGCACCTGCCTCGGTCCGTCAACTAACAGGAAACCTTGCTGGGAGGAGCGGGTCTGTCATTCACAGCAGCCCTCTGAGGTCACCTGCAGGTGCCTGCGACTCAGACAAGGCCACGCCGAGCGGCAGCCAACCACACGGCCTCAGCACCGCCTCCTGCCTGTCCTGTGAACACCGCTAGGCATGCCGAGGCCAGGCTCTCAGACCTGGCTCTGAGGACTGCCTCAGCTGGGAGACGTTCTTTGCTCAACTCAACTCTGCTCAGCGCAGCCTGTCTCAGGTCTTCCCTTCTGTCAGGCTCCAGGACTGAAGCTCCAGGGGCCACTCCCACAGGTCACCAGAAACTGACATGTGAGTGACGCCCAGCAGCGTCCGACTCTTTTGCGGTGGCTGCGCCCGTGGCTTCCTGCCCCCACTGTCTTTGGTATCTGGCTGTAGGCCATACTTCTTGGGGCAGAGGTCTTCCTCTTTGGGCCCTTCTCAGCCCCTAACAATCTCCTAGCCCCCAAACCTGGAATGGCTCCCTGGAATTGCAGAAGAGGTGGGGAGGTGGCAGCCACAGCTCCAAGTCACCACCCTGCCCCGCCGCCTGTGAAGCCGCAGCCGGCACCAACACCCCAACCAAAATAGTGGCTGAGATGAGCCGACAGCTGGCGTTTATTTTTGCATCAGCAGAAGCGGGTGGGAGTCGGCACCTGCCCGACCGGCTGCAGTGCGCCAGACGCCGTCACCTGCTGCCTGGGCCTGAGCCCTGGAACCTTCCGCAAGCTGGGGGCAGGGAGACGGCCTTGGGCAGGGCAAGGCCTCTGCTGACCCTGCCGCCGGGCCCCCACTGTGCCCTGGGCCTCTGTCTTAGCATGGCAGGCCTGAGGCCTTCCCGAAGCCTGTCCTGGGGAGTTCTGGGGTCCTGGGGTGGGGCTGGCCTTAACCACCTCTCAGTCCTCAGCACAGAGGACGCCACAAGGTCGGGCAGGCTGGGCTATGAGACTGTGGGTGCAGTCCACGTGTTCTCGGGGCCTCAGTCTCCTCATCTGTGGTATGGGGGTGCTGCTGCCACCCAGATGCCAGGCTTGGGAATGGGTGAAGGGTAAAATGCACGGAGATGTTTTCTCACCACCCTGTCGTAAATACCAGCCAGGCCTCACGGCAGCCCTCGCTGGTCCCTGTATTAACTGTCCCGGGCCTCCGACTGTGAGGTGGGACTCTTGTCTGACCCAAGTGATGGCGGAGAAAACTGAGATGCAGAGAGCCACGTGACCCGCCTGCAGGTGCTCCATGGGCGTCGCCAAGCTCGGATGAGAACCACGTGGCAGCTCTACTCCAGGCCCAGGCCACCCACCCCAGGGGGAGACGTGGGCTCAGGGCCCAGGACAGGCGCCTCTGCAGCCAGCACCCTGCCCCAAGGCAATGGGGCCCTCCTGGCCCTGAGTGGTGCCAGGTGGGGGCAGGGGTCTCCTGAGTTCAGGTACACACAGCTGCCGGTGACGCCTTGTGCCCACATGCTCAGGTGTACACAGGTGGGCGCACGTGTGCTCCTGGAGCACGCGTCCACGCTCCTGCCCACTGCACTGCTCACCGAGTGGCCGCTGGCGCTCCCGCAGCTCCTGGGGGTCCGGGTGGCGGTAGGGGTCTCGGAAGTGGTGGGCCACGGCCATGTCCTCCAGGCGGTAGTGTGGCGGCGGCGTGGGCTGTGCCGGCCCGTTGCTGGGGCTGTAGCGCTGGGCAGTCAGGGTGCACGGCCGTTTGCTGAGGTGCTCGGGGTGCAGCGGGTCACGGTCTGACCCATTCTCTTTGGTCCTAGCCCAAAGAGCAGGTGGGGTGGGGTCAGCAGATATGGGATGAGCCGGGACGGGCGTGCAGGGCGTGAGGCAGACAGGTGTGGGCAGAGAGAAAGAGGACACATGAGGCTGAGACAGAGACACGGAGCACAACACCAGCCCCGGGGGGCCCAGCCCGGGGCCCGCACTCTCCACCCCTCTGCCAGGGCCTGAGCCAGCCTCAAACCCTGCTGCAGCTACATGGATCCTGGGGCTCGGTGGTCCAGGAGCAGGACCCTGTGCTCTGGGAATGAGGAAAGGGATACACTGGCCTCCTGGGACTGGAGACCACCTGCCCCTTGGGCAGCAGTAGCACAAGCTCATCTGTGGCAGCAGAGTGGGCCTAGCCCAGGCACCTGGGGACCCCGAACTCCTGGATGCTTGGAGTCCATGCCCAGCACAGAGGGAAGACCCAGGCAGTGACCCCCGCCAGCCTCCTCTCTGTCCTCCTCAGCTTTCTGGAGCATCTGGGCCTGCAGCCCACTGGGGTGTCCACAGCATAGAGGCTGGCTGGGCTGGCTGCGGCCCTAGAGGAGGTGCCCTCTCTTACCAAGAGGGGAGCAGCATGAGCTGCGTGTCCCCCGCACCCTCGGCCCAGATGCCCGGAGCCCACAGGTACCTGTCTGGCGTCCTCCTCTTGCCGTTCTCGTTGACTTCCAGCAGCAGCTCTGAGGAGTCGATGGGGGAGGAGGCGCTGGCGTCCAGCAGGAGCTGCTCGTGCTGGGCCAGGTACTGGGTGGGCGTCTGCTTGGCCAGCCGGGCACAGTGCAGGAGCTCCCGCTGCAGCAAGGGCAGGTTTGCCTGTGGGGTGGGGAAGGAGGGCGTGGAGGGCATTGGTGGCATGCAGGGGTGCCCAGCTCCACTCAGGTCCGAGCAGAGGGCGCCTGGGCTGGGTGGCTGACGGCTCAACGTGACCTTGGGACAAGTTCCTTCCTCACAGTGCTGTGAGAGGGCGGGCACGGAGGCTCGTGGGAGCACCTCACCTGGGCCACACAGCCATGTAGTGCGTGTGGAACTTGAGACAGATCCACGGAGGCTCACCCCACCTGTGGGAGCGCCTCACCAGGGCCACACAGCCACGTAGCGCGTGTGGGACTTGAGCCAGATCCTGGGCTCCCAGGCTGGGGCTTTTCCCCTGCATGGAGCTCCCTCCTATGGCGGTTGGGAGAAGCTGAGGAGGATGGTGTGGCAGACAGTGGCTGCTCTTCCCGCCTGCACCCTCGCGCCTGCCCGGCAGGCACCACAAGACCGGGCACAGCTGGGGAGGTGCAGGCTCAGAGCAGGGAGGCGGCCCTGGGCCTGCAGTCGGTCACACGAGGGAGCTGGGAGCGGAGCCAGGCTGGTCTGCCTGCAGTCTGTCCGCTCCAGCTCTGATAGCAAACGCCACGGAGTTGGCCCCCCTCCCCACTGGTTTCCAGCCTCGGCCTGGACGGAGCATGGAGTGGGGACTGAACTCTAGTGTTCTGTGGCCACACTGCTCTGAGCACGTGGCACTTCCTCCAGTGACCCCCCAACCTCAGTGGACAGGGCTGAGACCTGGCTCCACATCTGTGGGTAAGGACTCTGCAGTGAGGCGCCCAGCACACAGGCTTCCTATGTGGACCCCGCCTTTGACACCTGTGTGGACCCGAGGTGCCCGCTGCCCCCTCCCTGGCTCCAGGCTGGCACTGCTGCGCAGCAAGCCGGGCCCCTCGTGTGACTTCCCACAGTCTTCCCAGAGCTGCCGCAGGAGGGCAGACAGGCTGGACGCTGAGCGCGCTGGACCAGGGCCCAGCAGCAGACCACTTGGGAGAGCCAGCAGTTCCAAGTATTTGTAAATAAATACAATTCCCCAACTTTCTCATGCATTTCAAAGCTGCCACGCCGCCTTCTCCCGCCAGCGCCTCCCCTTCCCAGGAGCCCATCCACCAGGCCCTCTGGCAGTGCCGGCTGCTGGCCTGTTTTTCTCTTTGGATAGCTGAACTGGGGCCAACCAGCCATCTGCTGAGCACATTAGGAGCATGAGCTGGGAAAGGAGGTCCCGGGAGGGCTGCAGAGCCCAACATCCTCCCTTCCCTCGTCAGCCTCTCTCCAGGGGCCTCCCCTGGGCCAGTTCGGGAACCTGCTGGGTGCTGTTGGGCAGGGAGAACATCTGGGTCCATGGCCAGCTGGGGCCAGCTGGGAGCCAGGCGGTGGGTGGAGCCATGGCCTCCAGCTTCTGGAGAGCCTGACCCTTTGGCCACGTGTTGGGGGCTCAGGAAAGGGTGCAGGGGACCCGGGACTGGGCAGCAGCAGTGTGTGGGCCAGAGGCACAGCAGCCCTGGGCCAGCAGGGAAAGACACCCCGAGGCCTGCAGAATGGGGTGGGGACTGTGGGAGCCTCCTGCAAAGCCTCCTTCGAGGCAGTGTCCCCACTGTGTCCCCAGGAGCCTCAGCTGCCTGGGGAGGGTGTCACCATTAAATGCTACATAAACCGAGCGGGTCACAAAATGCCCCAACTCCACCGCCTAACGGAGGTTGTGACTGAGCGTGCCTGAAGCTGCCCTCTGCACAGATGGGACATCAGAACGGGGAACTGGCGTCTGCCATGGTGGCAGCAGCGGCCAAGGTGCCAGCTCAGCCAGAGGGCTTTTGGGGACTCCGCTGCTCTGCCAAGCGTCCGGCTACAGCCTCCCTGACGGTGGGCTCTGGCGCCCAGGGGCTGTGGTCTCCCACAGCTCACTTAACCTCTCTGACCCTGGCTGCATCTGCAAACTAGAGCCGTGGAGGCTCTGGCTGAGACTGGCCGTGGCGAGCTCCGGGCGAATTAGCCTGGTCCTTTCTGGGGTTCACCAGACTCACCGCCCCAGCTGCAGAGGAGAGGACCCAAGCCATGGCGGGAGTTCCCGCCAGAGAGGCCCCCCTCAGCGCTTCGGCCCCGAGCCTGCGCTGCACCTTCCCACCACCTCTCCGTCTTTCCTCACTCTGCGGCTATTTCGTTTTTGCCACGTCTCACACCTGCTGTTTCTAGGACGATGTCTGCAAGGCTGCATGAGGATGCCCCACGCTGGGCCTAGGGGCTGTGGGTGTCTCGGGAAGGAGCTACCCCACTCCCAGCCCATGCCACAGTCGGGAACGCTGAGGCCCGAGGGGGCTGGCTGGGGGTCGGACTCCCCCACTGCCTCCTGCGTCTGGAGCGGCTGTAGCCCTGCGGTGGGTGTGGGTGAGGCTGGGGCTCCCTCCGGGGTGGGATGGCAGGGCCAGGGTCTGGCAGGGGGTGTGGGTGGGGTCGGGGTTCCTCTCTGGGTGGGGCAGCGGGGCCAGGGTCTGGCAGGGGGGTGGGTGGGTGGCAGCTTCTCCCGGGGTGAGGCGGCAGGGCCAGGGTTCTGGACAGTATCTGGGTAACTAACAGGTCCCAGAAGCAGAACTGGCTGAAGGATCTTGATTTTTACTTTTTATTTTTGAATCCTTCTGGCCTCCCCGCCTCGAGCTCCATGTCGGAGAGGTGAATGGACTTCACGTCCTGCACAGTCCCACTGGCCTTGGCCTGGGTGGGGGCGTGAGATGGGCGCCCCGCACTCCAGCCACCCTGCACAGGCCAGTGCCGAGGGGAGACTGAGGCAGGACCCTCTCAAGAACAGTGCCGTGGGTGGCGCCATGCTGGGGCATGGCCATGGGCACCAGGGCCTGACCAGACGTCACGGACAGGGGCCGGAGGCCTGGCAGGGCAGGCGTGGGGACACCGTGGGGTCTCTCTGCCTGACCCTGCTCCTGGGGTAAAAGGGGTGGCTGAGGCTGTGGAGCATCTGCTGCTAAGAAGCAGCTGCACAGTGGCCCCAGAGGTCGGGAGGGGTGGAGCCTGAAGCATTAAAGAAGGGAAGGGAGAGCCGCTAAGGAACCGCAAACAGCGCCAGATGGGCCCAGGTTCCTGCCACACCAGCAGCTTCTCCTTCCTCGCCAGCTGTGAACAGGAGCACAGCGGTCGTGGGACGGGGCAGAGAACGGAGGGCAGGCAGGAGGGAGGGGGCAGAGGAGGGAGGGCAGCAGGGGGATGGGAGGGGTGGAAAAGGGAGGGAAGGAGGAAGGGAGGGGGTGTGGAAGCCACAGAGGGAGGGAAGGTAGGTGGGGGTGGTGGTGGGTGTGATGTGGGGTCCACTTGGGGAGGGACTGAAGGAAATGAGGGCCTGGCCCTGGGTGTGCCCTGTGACGGCCACGGCGTTTGCAGTTTGACATCTAGGTTTCAGCCCTGGTTCCATCTCTCCACCACCTGGGGTGGGAGGGAACCAGGGGCCTCAGTTTCCCCACCTGCTAATCGGGAACATGTCTGTGCTATGATACACCTTGACAGGTGAACAGAGCTGTGAGAGATCCTTATAAAGCATTCCTCCTCTGTGGGACCCTTCAAACCCCAGGACGGTGATGACATCCCACGTGAATCTAGAACGTGCCATGCCTCCCTGCAGTGCCCGCTACCCGGGAGGCTGAGGGGTGAGATTCCCCTGAGGCCAGGAGTGGAGGCCCCATTCTTTCCATGTGTCCCTCCATGCTGTCTTCCCAACAGCCTGTGAATGATTCCATTTTGCAGGTGCAGAAACCGAGGCACAGAGGAACTGGCCTGGCCCAGATGCCGGTAGCTGCTAAGTGGCAGGGTCCGGCTCAAGCCGGGGCGTCTGGTCTGGTCTGCCCTCTAGACCCCTGAGGGGAAGCCTGGCCCTGCAGAGACGGAGCACGCGGCGGCGCAGGCAGTGCTCAGGGTGGGCCTGCAGGTGTGGCCAGGCTGGCAGGTTCCTGACCCCAACATGTGCTGGGCAGAGAGGGCCACATGGTCAGTCAGGTTTGGGGAACTTTCCCTCCACTCCTGCTCACAGATGTGCAGCTGTCTCGGGGAAGCGGAGGCCTGCAGCGAGGATCGTCTGACTCTGCAGCAGACCTGGGCCCGTCCCGTTTGCAGGTGTGTGGGAATCATTGCTTGATCCATTCATCCATTCATTCAGAGACAGGGTCTCCCTCTGTCACACAGGTGCAGTGCAGTGGCACCATCATAGCTCACTGCAGTCTTGACCTCCTGGGTTCAGGTGACCCTCCCACCTCAGTCTCCCAGGTAGCTGGGACCACAGGTGCATACAATGCCCAGCTAATTTTTACTTGTTTTTGTAAAGATGGGGTCTAGTGGCCGGGCACGGTGGCTGACGCCTGTAACCCCAGCACTTTGGGTGGCCGAAGTGGCGGATCACAAGGTCAGGAGTTCGAGACCAGCCTGGTCAGTATGGTGAAATCCCATCTCTATGAAAAATACAAAAATTAGCAGGGTATGGTGGCAGGCACCTGTAGTCCTAGCTACTCGGGAGGCTGAGGCAGGAGAATCCCTTGAAAGCGGGAAGTGGAGGCTGCAGTGAGCCGAGATCGCGCCACTGCACTCCAGCCTGAGCGACAGAGCGAGACTCTGTCCCAGAAAAAAATAAAAGATGGGGTCTAGCTATGTGACTCAGACTGGTCTTGAACTCCTGGCCCCAAACAATCCCTGCTCCTCAGACTGGCATCTTTGAAAATGCAGGCTCCGAATGAGTAGGTTTGGGCCAGGCCGAGAGCCCGTGTGGCTGGCAAGCTCCTGGTGCTGCCACCCTAGTCCACAGTTGATCCGGGTGTGACCTCTGACCTGCTTCTACCTGACTGACAGCGCTTCATCCACCCGTCTACCCGTCACACAGGCCCCTCCCCACCTGTCCGCAGCCGTCCGCCGCATCCCACCCTCGCCTCCGCTCTCTGTGCCACGCGTTCTGTTCCGGTCACATGGACGCCTCTGCTGTTCCTCAAGCTCAGAGGGCACCCCATACCTCAGGGCCTCTGCACGTGCAGTTCCTGCTGCCTGGACAGCCGGGGGCTGGCTCTGCAGCAGCTCCGCCCTCATCCTTGGCCCTTGCCAGCGTGCCCTGCTCAAGGGGCTTTTGGAATATTTCTCTACCACACACACGCAGATTTGACAGTGGTTGTGGGCTGAGCGCCTTCCTGGCCCCGGGATGCTGGCTTCAGGAGGGACCTGCCGCATGTCCTGGGCCTTGTCCCCAAGCCACACCTAATGCTGGTGTGTCAGTGCTCAAGCATCATCTGTGGCTAACGCGGACAGCTCTGCCCAGCACTGGATTTTTTTTTTTTTTTTTTTTTTTTTGAGACAGAGTCTTGCTCTGTCACCCAGGCTGGAGTACAGTGGCATGATCTCAGCTCACCGCAGCCTCTGCTTCCTGGTTTCAAGTGATTCTCCTGCTCAGCCTCCTGAGTAGCTGGGACTACAGGCACGCGCCACCACGCCCAGCTAATTTTTGTAGTTTTAGTAGAGACGGGGTTTCACCGTGTTGGTCAGGATGGTCTCGATCTCTTGACCTCGTGATCCGCCCGCCTCAGCCTCCCAAAGTGCTGGGATTACAGGCGTGAGCCATGGTGCCCAGCCTCCTGCACTGGATTTAGTGGCTGAGTAATCATCAGGTCTGCTAACTAATTTTCAGGCCTTAACTAGTAGGAATCGGCCCAGGTTAGTCAGTAGTGCTCCCCTAGGTTACTAAACGGTCCCAGGTTGGCCAAGACTGATGCCTGATCACACACTAGCAAGGAACGGATTCGGGGCCTCGCAGGGAGGGGCTGGGGCTGCCGTTACCTTCAGGAAAGGAATGACAAACGGCCGCAGAGGGAAGTTGGTGGCCTCCTGGAGCTGGCAATGAAACTCCTCGATCGTCAGCGTCGAGTTCTACGGGAGAGAAAACCCGCCTCTTGTCGGCACCACGCAGCACAAGAGCCAGCACCGTCCTGCCCATGCCTGAGGGGGCAGCCTGAGGAGGCTGGGGAGGCAGCCCAGGAGCCGGGCAAGCCTGGGAGGGTGCAGGGGGCATTGCGGGAGTGCCCACGGCCGGTTGGCAGGACGGAGCCCACGTGAAGGGTGGCTGTGCTGCATGTTCATGAAACGGAGGGAATGTTCAGGTGCCAAGGCCCCGGCCGCCCCGCCCGACTCACCACCAGGCCCAGCACCAGCGCGCGCACGCGCTCCCCGATCTCTGGGGAGATGTCGCTGCCAAACTGCTGCAGGGTGGTGAGGAAGCGCTTGAGCTTGCTGAGCTGCCGGGCCCCGCAGGCCGGGGGCAGGTGCTGTGTGGACAGGGAGGCCGTGGACGAGGTGGCCGGGCCATCGCTGAAGCCGTTGGGTGTGGACGGCGCGCCGTTGATGGCTGTCGGCGAGGGGTTGCTGCCGTTCATCACTGCGGGAAGGAAGGGAGCGAGGGGGGCACGTGAGGACGTGACAGTGACGCTGACGGCATGACCCAGGGGCGGCAGTGTGTGGGTGACCCCCATATAGGCACCGAGGAATGCGAGCTGAGCAGAGCCCTGGCACAGTTAGGGCCTGAGGAATAGCTCACTTCATAGTGTTACTACTCAGCTGTTTCCTTTTATATAATCCTTTACATAATCATATATTCGTTTATAGAAATAGGGCTTGAAGAATCCCTTTATATAATTCTCTCTATATAATCATTAATAGTTGATAGTATGAGTGCCTAAAGAATATTCCCTGCATATATACCTATAATCATATCTTAGTTCATAATCGGAGGAATGCCTACAGTGGACACAGTACAGAGCATGAATTAAGGAATAAGCAGCTTATCATCGGAGGAATGCCTGGAGCAGACACAGTGCAGAGCATGATTTAAGGGAAAACAGTTACACCAGGACAAGAACCCATGGCCCAGGTGGCAGCGTTCAGTGACGTAAAGATACCCGCTGGATGGCAGGCTTGGCGAGAGCCACTCCTCCTGATAAAGGAGTTGTAGGACCTTGCTCCAGTTCTTGTGGAAGGCTGCCCTCAGACCGGCAATCCACCCTGGTGACTGTGAACTCTATCAGCTCTTGCTCCTGTGCTGCTCGAAAAGCATCTTCCCATAGAACCCATTGGAAGCTGCCAGAAGGTGGCGGTAACCCTGACAGCTCTGTCACTGCCGTGTGACTTAAAGCATCCTCCTATAAATCTTCTTAGAAGTAGATTGCCATAGATAGAAGTATTGCACACTGCACCCTCTTCACTGCGCACAGCCCACCTTCAAGCCTCGGTGACCTAATGGGGGTGGACCCCTCACTGCACACGGCCCTTGCCTTCATGGGAATGGGCCCCTTGCTGCGCACTGTCCACCTCCTGGCCTAGGTGACCTAATGGGGGTGGACCCCATGTTTTATTGCTCACGACCCTATCACTATCCTTAAAGATGATTTCACTCAGGCTGGGCGTGGTGGCTCACGCCTGTAATCCCAGCACTTTGGGAGGCCGAGGCGGGTGGATCACAAGGTCAAGAGATCGAGACCATCCTGGTCAACGTGGTGAAACCCCGTCTCCACTAAAACTACAAAAAATTAGCTGGGCATGGTGGCGCGTGCCTGTAATCCCAGCTACTCAGGAGGCTGAGGCAGGAGAATTGCCTGAACCCAGGAGGCGGAGGTTGCGGTGAGCCGAGATCGCGCCATTGCACTCCAGCCTGGGTAACAAGAGCGAAACTCCGTCTCAAAAAAAAAAAAAAAAAAAAAGATGATTTCACTCACTGCCCTGCCCCCTCACCTATACACAATCAATACTCACTGTTCTGGACATTCGGGGCCTCGCCTGACTCTGCTTATAGGTAGCATGGCCCCCTGAGCCCAGCTGCGTTTTCCTTGTACTTCTGTGTCCTGTCTCTATTTCTCAGATCCTGCGCCTCAGCACAGCATAAGGCTCACCCCACGACCCTGTGGGGCACTCAGCCTTACATCTGGCTCCCAACGTGCCCTACAGCAATGAGGACAGCAGTGACGGAGGAGGACAGCAGGATTCCCGAGCCCACCCAGGGCAGCTCTGCCAGACCTCCGTGTGCTGACCATCTGTCCACTTAGCCCTGCACACACACCCCCTTACAGATGTGGAAATGAATACCCTGGGAGGTGAAGGCCTGGGTACCAGGCAAGGGCACCCACAGTGGTGGTGGCTACGGAGTTAACTGTGTTCTGAGTGTGGCTTCCCACCCAGCATGACCCTTGGGACTTGCTCTGGGGCTGATGTGAGGCCCTTCACAGCCAGCAGGCGTGTGGCCCCTACGCCAGGCCTGGGAGACACCGACCCCCCCAGGCTGGCTCAGGTTTTCCCTGTGAACAGGCAGACAGGGCTTTTCCACACACTAGGGGCTTGACAGTCCAGTTCCCATGTGCTGGAGGCAAAGAAGACTTGGGATTTGAGAAGCTGCTCTTACCCCTGAAAGGCCAGCTGCCCTCACACCTCTGACATGATGTTCAGAAGCAATAGCTCCTACCCCCGATCAGGCATCTCCTGACCCTGAGCAACTCTGCCCACAGGCATCTCCCAGCCCAGCAATGCTTCCCCCACAGGCATCTCCCAGCCCCAGCAATGCTTCCCCCACAGGTATCTCCCAGCCCTGAACAATGCTTCCCCCACAGGCATCTCCCAGCCCTGAACAATGCTTCGCCCACAGGTGCCTCCCAGCCCTGAACAATGCTTCGCCCACAGGTGCCTCCCAGCCCTGAACAATGCTTCCCCCACAGGCATCTCCCAGCCCTGAACAATGCTTCCCCCACAGGTGCCTCCCAGCCCTGAACAATGCTTCCCCCACAGGTATCTCCCAGCCCTGAACAATGCTTCCCCCACAAGTAACTCCCAGCCCCAGCAATGCCTTCATTTGCACACAGACCCAGTGCCTGAGCTAAGAGGGTCCCAGAGGACAGAGGAACTGGGACACCCAAGGACATGCTTGGTGGGGTCCTGCTTCTGGTGGCTGTGTGCACACAGGCCAGTGTGTGTGGAGGACAAGCAGGTGACATAAGGGACAGCTGGTGAGCTTGCCACAGGGCTGCCTGTTGGCCACTGAGACGTGACCGCCTGGCTGGCTCTGCTGTCAGGGTCAGTGTTCCAGGGCCCTGGCAGACATGGGGCTGCTGTGGAAAGTCCCAGGGCCAGGCCTTGCCTCTTTTCTCAGGTGACAGAGCTAAGGCCAAGCCTCTTGTAAGGAGTCCAGGGCAGCCCTCCTATGCCCAGCCCACCTGCACGCGATGTGCCCTTGGCCTCAGGAGCCTGAGCGGTGACCCCATGCTCTGCAGACAGGTTGGAGGCCACAAGGCTCCCAAGTCCACTGCTGACAGGGGACAGGCCCCGGCCAGCTCCTGCTGTGAGGAGCACTGAAGCCCTGTGCACCCACACCCGGCTCCGGCCTCCTGCACCTGGACACTTCCCTGACACAGGGCACCCACTTCCCTAGAGAGCCCTCCATTTCCCTGCCTCCATTTACCCCCCACCACCCTTGCACACATTCATGCATGTACAACACACATGTACACACACACATGCATGCACACATGTGCATGTACATGTACAGAGGCCTCTGAGGGGTCGGCCCTCTCCTGAGTGTCCCTCCAGTAACCCTTAGGTGGCTGCCCTCGGCTCCTGGCACTCCGCCGTCCCAGAAGCCGCCTGTGGCTCCCGCCTTCCTGACCCTTGGTCCCGTGGCACCTGTGAGGTGCCTCCCGAGTGGGGGAGCCGTGCTGTGGCCTGGGCTGGGCTCTGCACCTGCACATACTCGACAGGCTGTGCAGTCACCATGTGTGTCCCTCATGGCAGATGGGTGCTGAGGCATGGAGGACATGCAGCAGGGTGGCCCGGCTCCCTGAGACCCCCTCCCAGCCCCGGCAGACCCCACATGCCAGCAGCCAGCACCGGGCACAGCGGGAAGGGGCGAGGCCGGCCCTGCACTCAGGACGTTCTCAGAGGAGAGGGCGGAACAGATGCGCTCATGGTGGCGGCCTCTCCTGGGACCCAGGGCTCACCCTGCTCTCTCTCCACCCTGGGCCTCACAGTCGCCTGCTGCAGGAGCTGCGGGAGGAGACCAGAAGGGCCACAGAGGCCCTCAGACGCACCAGCGTGGTGAGGGTGTCCACAGAGACACAGCCCTGCCCTCAAGTTCCAAGCAGGGCGGCAGGGAGCAGAGGGCAGCGTGGTGGCCGGGTGGCTCAGGCCTGTGCCTACCTCCTCTCGTTCCTTGCACTGCCCAGGTCGGCCAGGACCACTCCGTCCTCACTGGTTTTATGGGTTGGGTGTTACGTGACGCTGTTGGCAATAACTAGCCCCATGCCTAGAATTCTGGAAACCACTAACTGAAGGTCAGAGTTGGCACAAAACCTTGAGTGCACATGTGGCCGTGGCCTCAGCCTCTGCTACGGGGTGGCTGCAGCATAGAGACACCTCTGCTGCTGGGGCTGTGAGCCTCCCTCCACGTAGATCCTGACCTCCCTCCACATGTGTTCTGGTCTCCCTCCACGCGTGTTCTGGCCTCCCTGCACAGGGGGTTCCGGCCTCCCTCCATGCGTGTTCTGGCCTCCCCCCACACGGGGTTCCGGCGTCCCTCCACGCGTGTTCTGGCTTCCCCCACACGGGGTTCTGGCCTCCC